ACCCTACTAAAGCTGGAAAGCGCGCTTGTAAATAAGTATAAATACATTGCTACAGGTCGAGTTATTTCAACACAATGTACCCTGTGGCAAGGTCAACTTTGTGCAATAATATGGTAATGCCTGGGCTTTAATCATGATGACGCAGGCCTGAAATTAGTCATAGTAGTTACCACTGATCACGGCAAGTGACGTCGACATTTGCGTTTCCACGGCGTCTTCGTCGACTACTCGACATGTCAACCTTGTCCCATTCATAGACCTCTGGACGTTCAATATTGTCAATTCACCGCTGGTATCATCAAATCGGAAACCTTCAAGGACTTCTGCTGGCCTGCACGAAGCTATTGTGGAACCATTCCATAGCCAACTCAAGCTGCCCCCAGCTTGACATGGTGAAACCGGCTTTTTGAAATGTGTGTCTTTCACCTGACACTGCACTGTCGTGTCTGCTCCTTCTTCAGATTGAATCAGCGGGGGCATTTTAAGTATATGCAATCCTGCAGTGTATTATCATAAAATGATAATAGATTTACCTAACGTACACACTCAAATGAGAACAAAGGGATCACTGGTTTTTATTGCTTATGTATGCGTTCAAAACGCCAAGCCTTGCTAACGAGCCTGACTCGTGGACTTTACATCTCAGGTTCCTGAATCCATGTACATAGAAGTTGTTTCGTAAAATTGCTAACTGCACAATGTTAAATAATCATCTCTGTTCGGCGTGAGGAAACAACGTGGCCAAAAACAATTTCTTTTAAATTTCTGGCTTGGCTTAGATTTTGCTTAACTGGCTACACTCGGCTATCGGATTCCTACAACTTAAGACATGAAGAGATGAGTTAATTGCCTTCCAAAGGCATATCGTGAGCAAAAAAGGGGAGAACTGTGGGCAACTTTCGTTTTGTCGTTTACAAAACAAATTTTGACTAGTGGGGAATGTATACCAATGTACGACTTACAATTTGACATTTGTCAGGCCTCATGACAAAAGCCAGTTACTACGTGTTGCCTCCTAGTTTCAAGGTCGATGTCAGCGTATGCGTTTGAAGTAAAGAGGCATAACTTGTTACATTTTTGTCAGTTTTTTCATTATGATGCATTTATCGATGGTTCTGTGTTGAACCGGAAATACTCAATTTAACAAGACTGGATAACAAGTTTAAAGATAGATTAAAGATATATGGCTTGACAATTACCTCCTATTAAAGGTGAAATTCTCCTGTTTATGCAAAATGAAGTACTACAGAGCAAAGGTTTCAAGTAATTAATTAAAAATGTACCCCTTCCAATTAAAGGTCCTTAGTAGAAAATATTACGTCAGCACACAAAGGTCTTTTTAGACATAAACAGGCAGTAAATTTGAAGCAAAAAAGAACTAACATTTCACAGACCCTCATACAGCAAAATAACCCACTTTCTCTGCTAGACTCCCGTCGAAATAAATAAATAAGGGAAGTGGAAAGAGAAGATGACGGTATTGTCAACACCCATAATACTTCAGATAACAAAATCAAACGAATCAGACTATCAAAAAATAACTTAGTTCTCATCTATGTTTGCATTCCTGTATCTAATCTTACCTCCAAACCCGTGAATCACAACAACCAAATATGCAGTGAAGAAAAGCACGTAAAGGCGGTCCATGTTGGAAGAGATGAGTGGGAAAGACCTTTGGAACAAACAGACTTTAATCCACCAAACTGGGTCGTGCCACAGAAAGAGTCTATTGATGAA